ACCACTTTATATATTAAGGAAATCCTCTATGATCACTAATACAAAAGAAAGTTCTTGGCATCACGTGCAGCCGCGATCCTTCCATCAGGTTCTACCATCTTCTGTTGCACAGCAACGTATCCCAATCACTTATACAAAGGAAATGCAACTATGCAACCAAGAAAACTACAATCAATATATGCAACCAAAACTCCATGCATATTCCGTCTCCATAGCCAGGTGGCCGTGACAGTTTTGGGCTTTAAAGCAGAAGGCAGGAGCTATAGGCATGTCCGTCTGCATGCCTACAACCAAGCTCACCCACTGGAGGACCCCAGAGATCATGGTGTATACTGCTCTATGCCAGTCACCTTGGATGGTGCTCTCTTGCATCCTGCTAGGCTGTTACACTGGCTTGGCTATTGGTTTACCCCTAGCTTGGAGACCTCTTCCCATTTCACTAAGCAGCTAGCTCTCACTCAAGGGGCTTTTGCCATAGTCAGACAACTCTCCCCCAGGCACAGGCCTGCCTTTCTACCTCAACAGGCGGCTAGCCGTTGGTCTCATTCTCACAATTTTCTCCTACCGGGCTGACCTTCTCGTCCTAATAACTCTGCGCTCTACAAGATAGAGGTCTTTGAGAATAGGGTCCTCCAGTAGGTAGCCAACTGCTTCTACTCTACCCTTACCACCATCCTCCCATGTGAAGCCAGCATCCCCCCCTTAGTAGCGCTGCTTCCTCACAAGAGCCGCATGGCGGCCTTGAGGATGGCCTGCCCACTACCCAAGATTAACCTAGCATTAGCCAGGCTCCCCCTCTCTTTCCCCTCTCTGTTGGCAAGGAGGGCCTCGGACTCCAACCAGGTCCTCTCACTAGGATTAAAGGGTAATGGCGATCCTCTCTTTTGGAAGACCCTGAGGCCAATACTGGCGGTTCAGGCTTACCTCCCTATTGATAGTATTGTACACTCCCTCATCTCCCTCATGACCAGAGAGTCCATGCCAGTCATCCACCAGCATCTGGTCCCTGGAACCACTGACAGCCTTGCCTCCTCGCTGAGGTACTCCCTCCTCAAAGCTTCCACCAAGTCTGTCCTCTTTCGGGACTAGGGGCTGTAGGCCCCCCCTCTCCTCTACTACCCTTACCCTCCCCCCGAGACCCTGTACCACTTTATAGGTCTTGAATGCTTCCTGGATGGGAGAATACATCAGATGTCAGCTGGAAAGAGCTATCTAGCTGCCCACATCCCATGGGATGATCCAGACAGACCCACCACTTGCTCCTCCTGCGGCCTCAAATCAGAGACCATGGGGCATGCTATCCTCTCCCGTCCTTCCAAGTCCCCTTCTAGACTGCTCCATATCCCGGGAGCACACTCTTTGGAATGCGAAACCCCACTCTGGACCAGCAAGGACCTCCTCTGGAGTCTTATATACTATATCTTAGAAACCAGAACCAATTTTCCTCCCACAATGGGGGGGCCGAGGGTAAGGCCCAGTGACAATCCTCTTTCAGACTGAATTGGTGTTTCCTTCCCTTGTCTTTCCTGGTTTGTAACTTTCCTTACTTTGTGTTTCTTCCGCATGAGGGTAACTGATCTTTCCTTTTGTAATTAGTTACTGTGTGGGGCGTAGTGGGTTAAATTACTTACAAATGAGGATACTTTGAGGTGGTATTTCTTTACTGTTAGTTGCTGTTGATATTAAGGGTTTGTTTTTGCTATAGCTAGCACTCCATGTATGTTCTTGTACCTTAACAAAGAATATATAAGTTAAACAAAAACAAAAAATCCCTAGCTTTAAGTCTATCATCAGCGACCGGAGAAGAGATCTTATCAATATATTCATTCTGCTTTACTTCTATCTTTATAAGCCTTCTTAACTATCTCTGAGACAGAAGAATACTGGGCCTAGTATATACTCCCTTGGCTTTAGAGTTACCTATCCTCTAACACTAAAGTATCTAAGGTGCTGCTAGGCTTGGAGCTGGCAGGAATAGGTAGGGCTGGAGTGCTACAGACTTGAGAGGTGGAAACAGATAGTTATACAGGCATATCCTTTGTACATTTAATATGGCATGCTATGATATATTACTTGCTATAGACTTTAAAACTCTTGTAACATCCTCAATTTAACAGAAGCTCTGAGGTTGATTAATGTAATAACAGGCAATTATTACTATCTAGTACCTTAGAGTTATCTCTTGTTCAGTAATATTTTTAGCTAGCTAGATTGAAATTAAATCATTTTAGATTAAATGGTTTTTACCTTTCTTGGCCACAAGATATACTGGAGGAGCTATTTCTAGTGAGTTGGCATTGGTTATAATATACAAGGATTTGCTGGTGCATTAACATTTATCTTTCTTCAGATCTCTAGGCACTGGCCAAAACCTTGGCACCAAGGTGTCCAGATACTTTATGAATTAGCTGGTAGTATATAGTAACTTGAACTAGAGAGCTGAATATACCCTTGTAGTTTAATATTACTTTGAAGTCTAATATAACTCTAACTGAATTTAGATATAAAGAATAGTAGGCAAACTATTCAAGTTTTAGCCTATAAAAATATAGATATATATATTGAAGCTCATAATTCTAAGTCTTAGGAACCAAGTACTAGTAGGATTGAAAAATACATGTAGACTAGAACATTTTATACAGTAGACTTATAGAGTTAGATTGTGCCATAAAAAAATTATTTTAAGTTACAAAACTTTGTTGAGCTACTAAAAAGTTGTGTTAGACAACAAGTCATATTGAGCTGGTAGGTACTCGCTTGAAAGTAACCAGGTTGCAAGTAAGCAAGTAACTAGGAGTTGTAATGGCTAGCTGCAACCTTGGCATGAGTATACTAACCTTCTTTTCCCTATGCTTTACATGAATTGTAGTACTATTTGGCTCTATATTTGGCTCAATTTACTTTAGTCCAATTGAATTACTATCTATATTATATAAAAAACTAATATAACAATTAACAATAAGTAAAAATAGCTTGAACTATTTATACTTAGATATTAGAAATATGTAGACCTTGTAGCATTTTTATTATGATTACTTATAATTTTGTTTTATCTATTGTGCTTCATAAAACTTGTTTATATTTGTAGCTAAATACCTCAAAACCTTACTCTATCTTCCTACTTCTCCTACCTTACTCCCCTCTTCAAATCACAAATGTACTACCTCAGGCTCTAACAACTCATACTAATAGATAGGTACTTACTATCTTCTTACATATGATTTTATATGGTGTACTGTATTTATTTTATTTATTTTCTTATATTACTATAACTGTTACAAACTGTGACTAAGCAAGGCAGATTTTACATATCATAGCTCGGAATTCCAAGCAATAGGTATGTTGGAATTTCACATGACGCATACTAGTGCACTATAGGTTATTATGTTTACCTGTTCATGACTCACAATTGTAAGTTATACGATGTTATGACTTTTGCACATGACTCAATTTATGAGTCATGGGTTTCACTCAGGTGATGCGAGTTGTGCACCTGACTTGGTTATTATGTTTTAATTGGTTTTAGGTATGTTGCTCAGTGACTCATAGGAGTCAGCTGATGGATTTCGCGTGACTCATGGTTATGAGTCACAGGGTTCGCGTGATGCAAGGTATGAGTCACACCAGGTGAAAAACTACTATATAAGAGATCGCTAGGACTCCAAGTATTAGTTCTTCATACGTTCTTCTTGTTCAAGTTTATTTCCTACCTTTAAGTTATTACAATAAAACCTACCTTTACACTCTTTAAAATTTATCTTAAGAAACCCAAGAATTGTCTTTCCTCCCAAGCAAGAAAACTATTTCTCATCCCACGTCGAACGATTAAGTCCTAAACGAGGACTTAAGAAGATTAGAGGAGGAGGCGCAATAAGATAGAAGTTAAAGGACTTGACTATCAACATTACATAGGCATCGGCCTAAGAACTATTACCTCGCTACGAATTAAGAATCGTTACCTGTCGCACCTCAGTGCCTAGTAGGATTCTTAACAATAACATTTAAGGAATTATTCTTTTACTCTTTTTAAGTTCATGATTCTCTTACTATGGCTTTCATTCTTTTGTTAATTTTAATTCCTAACTACCTTCTAGTACTCTCTTTATCTGCCTCTCTTTTATTTGATTTTATTTGGTTAAGAATTGATGGAGTTATTACTCCTTTAGTAGTATAGTATATTTTGTGTCACTTCTGAGTATCATATCACCCCATGGTAGAATTTATTAATATAATTGATACTTCTAGTATAAATTTATTATTTTTAAATAGGCTTTCTATTAAGAAATATAATAGTTGATATACTGTTTCTAATACTTTCTCCTATTCCTAGCTACTACTTTTTATAAAATCTCTTCTCTCCACTTTTTCTTTAATCTTGAATTCTGCTACCAGAGCTACTACTTTACTCTCAGCAGCCTATTGATGCTTGTCAATATATACTACTATCTACTACAAGATGTTTTGCTTTATTGATAGAGAAGAATATTATATAGTATTAGGATGTGTAATAACACAATCCCAATAGTAGCATAAGAGGATACAAGCATTATTAGGTGGAATCAATCTAGGGGATCTATATGTATATGTATATTTGCTAGAGTATCAAGGATTAGTCCTAGGTTGTCTATATAACTACTTTGTACATTGCCACGAGAGCAAGTACTGTTGGCGGCTTCTGTCACACTTATTCTGTATTTAGTCTCCTTTTGGAGCCCCTGAGCCTCGGGGAGACATGAGCAGCTCCTCTCTCCTCACCTTGGTCTTAGTCAATATTGTGATTTTCTCTCCTGCTGCAGCTGGCCCTGCCCTCAACGTGGTTGATTTGAACTTGTTGACAATTCACTAAAAGATGCACTTGGGAAAGGTGAGGGGGCGATGCGTGAACGCCCTATTATATTGAGAGGTCAAATGTGGGAGAAGAAATGAGAAGGTCTCCCGGCGATCCCCCGAGTGCCTCACACCGCGAATCTAATGCCGGCCCGTAAGCCTTATTCTTTCAGATTAGAAAAATCCAATCCACTCTCCTTCCGAACGACTCCGTAGATCCTGGGACACATTGTTAGCTTTGATCAAGCAAGAGCAGTACTAGTGGCCGTTTCCAGAAGAGAGAATAGACTTGCCCTGGTAAATCCCCTGTTGGCCCCGCTTCCGTTCTGAGTTCTTCCAGGTGGGCTCTCACCACCTTGACTATTTTCAAGTCTACGCCCGCTCCTTCCGCCAAGTTCAGAGCGTGGTTGGCATCCTTTCTTGCGAGATCCACGGAAAATAAGGGCTTGATAAGGATTTAGTACACTATGCGAGGATATGCATCGCGGCCCGACCAGATCGCGTTCATGCCTCTCACCTGATCACGCATGTAATCACCGCCCATCATCCGGGCGGAATAGGCAGTTACCGGCCCCGGGAACATCGCCTCGATGAATGAGTGCAGAACGTGTGGCCCAAGGCCGCTCTTTTCAGCGAAGACGTGGCCCTCGGCAAGTGCCTCTACCTGTATGCCGGTATGGCATGAATCGTCATCATCCAGGGCACGGGGGTAATGCGAAGGGAGGTGGAACAAAACCTACCATCGCGAGAACAAATGTATTCCCCGTAACTTTTAGTAGAGTTGCTGTTCCAGGATCGCGGTCGCGCAGGATAATCGTTGCGCGGCCAATTCTATGATTTTCCCGAATTGTCAACTTTCTCTCACTACAGTAGCAATTATAGGGGGTAACTTGGTGGTGTGTACACACATTCCTTCGCAGTAAGGTGTAACACGGTCTACTGCAGCACTGGGTCCAGCGAGTACAACAACAAGCTTTCCACTGTCCGCCATTGCGGGTGCGCCGAATACTGCAGCACACCCTTACTCTCAGAAGAGATCTCCACGAAAGTTTCATAATAACATACCTGGCGCGGCAACGAATTCCCCTCCCGCAGAACGGACTTTCTCTGCCAGTGCATTGGTTGTGGAAGGGAGAATGGTTGATGTCTCTACAAATAATTTGTCCTTAACTCCATTGGGGCAGCCTAGCGCTTTATCGATAACCTCCACGACGGATGCGTCACCGGCCAGCGAGGTGAATATGACATCCGATTGGGAGACGGCATCCTCTATGGAACCAGCGATAGATAGTTTGTCTGGACCCCCCAACGAAGTCTGCAGTTCCTCGCTGCGTTGTACGCTGCGGTTGAAGACTACGGGTGGGGCTTCAAGGTTCGCTTTGGCCACGATGTTTCTGATCATCCCCTGGACGGAAATATCAGCTCGTGTCGGACCGCAAGCACGCACCGAGATCAAAGCTTCTATCTGAGAAAGAAGGCGGGGAGAGTGGCCATTACTTACCCTACCCATATTGCCAAGCCCTATCCATGATAATTGTGGCATGGTGAAGATGATGCGGCACTTGAGCAACCGAGGATTGTGATTTTATTTATTTTCCCTCTGGTATGTTAGCAAAATTGTGGTTTGCTGGATGCGTTACAATCTCAAGTGGCTTGAAGGCGGGGTATCAGGGCAGAGCGGAACACTACTCGAGTAGAATGCCGGTAGTGCAGGAAATGCGCAAGTACCGACGCCAAGATGCAATCACCACCAGCCAAGACAATGGGTGACAGTTCATGATTGATCCATGGGTTAAGTTACCGTATCACATCAATTGGATAGCCGTATGATACGCAAATCATCTTTTCCCCCTGCGACCGCTCTGAGAACGGCGATGAATCTTATGCATGCTTCCGTGTAAACTCCCTAGTCATATGATGTTCCCTCCTGATAGATGTACACTTGTATGTAATTCGTTGCGCAGGACGGCGCTCGCTCAACCGGATGATGTGCTGATCACGTGAATGGAATCAATAGCGGTGGGAGGGAGGGACTGGCTCTTTTGCTTCGGATTTGGCGGGAGCTCGGGTTAAAATTCTCTGTTACGATACAAGGAAAGCCATGTGATTGTAATATCATTGCCTCTCTGCACCCCAATTATTGGGTTGATGTAATGGTGGCTGAATAGTGCTGCTCGCTCGGTGAAATGATGGTTCAATTATCCCGCTGAAACCAGAAGCGCTGCAGTGAGCTAAATAGAGCAGAAAACTGGCAGTCCGCACTCCACATTCCACATTTCGAATCAAACAACAGAGGTAACAGGTTTGATGCAGCTACCTGGATATTTTCTCGCCAAACCAAGAAGAGGCGGCTCCGCCACCGGTCTGCCTTGCGACTTGGTGATCACAATTATGAACCAAATTCTCAATACCACGCCGCAGTCCCAGAGCCGCGAGATCCTTGCCTTTTCCATAACGGCACTCGTGCAGTACAGTGCGAGTGCAGTAGAGAGCCTGCGCAGATCCCCCAATAAGCCTATCATATTGCCCCGTCAACAGGGCAACACCTCGGAATACCGGTGGGTTACTGGGGGACAGGCATGTTGCACGTGTTCCGCTTTTGTGCCAGTCAGGTCCTTTCCGAAGAAGTCTTGGAAGGTGGGCTGCATCGCATCTCCATTCCCAACATTGTCAAGAGCGATTATACATCATAATACCGGTACATGGAACTATCTCTGATGCTGTTTCAGTCAGTACTGAAAAATTGAATCTCACGCAAGGACATTGGAGTTGCCTGTCCTGGTACCGGTAAGGTCTCTGGTACAAGTACGATACTTCGAGCATAGTTGGAGCACGAGTACTTTTTTTTCTTTCTTTTTTTCCCCTCCCCCTTGTCATTACGCAGGGCTAAAAGCCCTTTTTTTTCTTCTTCACTGTTTGCAACTCTTCATCCAAAGAGGGGAATTCTGGACGTCTTAGCGCGAGGGCCAATCGCTGTGCTCCAATCTCTTCGACTGGGGCACGGCGAAAACCGGCGGGGGACGACCAGGGGTAGAAGACCCCTTTGCATCAGAAAAGTGGGGTTGGAGGTCACGGAACCGAGCCAACAAGAGGGCATGAAGCCCCCCCCTCGGATCGCCACACCTTACTCCGACTGCATGATAAGCAGAGAGCGAAAGGCAATCCTAGTGCGAATCCGGCTCTGCAAGCAAAAAAGCGAATTCGTCAAAGTACGAGTACGGTAGGGTAATGAAGAAATACCGGTGCCCCTTCTGCTCTGTTCGTCCCCCGTTGGAGAATGCAGCCCACATGCTACCGAGATGCCATTAGTGTCCTGCAGCCCCCGGTTCAGAGAGTGTCATCTCCCGCCCCAGCTTTTTCTTTTTCTTGCTGCCGGTAAGCTGAGCTAAATTTCAGAAGGAAGGAGTCCAATCATGGCAATCTGGATCATCAACTCAACAGTTCCATCACTTATTGTTACACGAGTACCCCGGGAACGGTAGCAGTGGGCACTCGTGAGGATGTTACTTGAGTACGGTAAGCTACTCAGATTTCCGATCTATACCGGTAGTTCGGAATGGGTATCGTGCAGTGCCTTGTATTCGAGTGTGTAGGCAAGAATTGGAAAACTATTTCTGCTAATTCCCCATAATTCTCTATTGTAGGCAGGGGTTACGAGTTTTCAAGTTTTCATGGACACATCCAAGTGCAGAGGGGGACGAGGATCCACTTCTGCCACAGGAAGGTGAGGGCCGAAGAGCACGCAGCGAGTGGGAAAGTGTATGCTAGGCGCAGGTGGGACGCCACTGGGCATGTCACCCGTTCAATATCATTCGGCATCCCCGGCTGGACGGCTAGAGATCGCCGCGCAAGTACTCGTACTGTATAGCATTACCGGTACCTGTATACGAATAAGCAGCCTCAAAGAGTGCACGAGGTCTCGGCAGTGGATCAAAGTGCGAAGCCCTGCTTCCGAAATTTTCTCCGCCTTAAGATGTTTGCAGAGGAAAAAAAAATCTCGGGGGATTCCTCTTGGCAGTTGAACACCATGGCTGGAAAAATGCAAGGATGAGTAAAAGCCAAGAGTTGCAGTATGGTATGGGTAGATTTTTTTAATTTTTTTTGAGCAACTGTATTGCCGTGTATCGTGTCGTATGTATTCCACCGCACCCTTATTGTAGGGTCCTGTACGGGTATGGTACTGCAGTGTCTTGAAAGACCCCATACCACCACACTTCTCTGGACAGTTCGCGGGAGGATGAATGCCACTTCGAATGAGTGGAGGGCACCGTTAATTATCCTACGGCACCGTCCATGTGGAATGCAATCGCTCCCGTGAATCAAGTTACAGATTCAGTGAGCCTATGGACTGGGGACGAAGTTGCAGCAGGAGACTTTCCCATTTTTATCGACACAGCTAAGGATTATGCTTGCACGAGGGGACCTGGTCTGCACAACGGATGTCGAGTTCCTGGCATACTGCACTGTCGCGGAAATCCTTTATTGACTGCTACGGGATACTCCGACTCCGACTCTCGCCTCTCCGATACTCGCACCCTGCCAGGCAGCATAGTATCATACTGTAGGCCCCGCGCTTGGATCGGCTATTGGAAACAGTTTGGAGGTATGAGGTTAGCGAGAGTGCCCACTGGTTTAAGGCTAAAAAGGTTCACGCGATGACAGCTGCCGTCTCATATGGTGCCAATCACTTAAAACGTGCACCGTGCTCCATGCAACATGTAGCGCTCAACTCTCCAAGAAACTAGCACCTTACCCTAGACCCGGTATCTTTAGGAAAATGTCAACTCCCATTCGTAATTACTCTACATATTTAATAACCCGTTAATTCCAAGGCCCATTAAGTATATGAATATACTCTATACCTATATAGCGAAAATCTGGTACACAAAATGTCCAAGTCCCATCAGTGGATCTCTGCTAGGTAGCTGGGCTTTAGACAAGCAGCCGGAACGAATCTAGGTTGCAACATCGATATGCGATTAAGGAGTCTTGAAATTAATAAGTGCTTAAATATACAAAGTATCATAGTTACAAATAAAAGTTAACATTTTTCTGAAGATGCTGGGTTTAGGGTATATTGCAAGTTTCTTAGAGGGCTGAGTGTTACATGTTGCATGGTGCACAGTGCACGTTTTAAGTGATTGGCACCATAACATATACTCGAGTATCTGGAGGGGGTGGGGCAGGATGCAGTTTTGCCACCGTCCCCCGACCCCCCACGATGCTGGCGCCTTCTCCACACTCGCCCCCCCCCCCCTATAGACACGTTAATTTACTGTTTCGGTGATCAGGTAGGGGCCAAAAGATCGGGGAAAAGGATCGCAAGATCTTAGGGCGATGAGCAGGCTGCGAATAAATTTTAATGGTATCATACTCGAGTAAATGATGAACTCAGGCAGATACAAAAAAATCGGGCTGGACACCAATCACATTATCCCACCAATCACAGGATGTCGCGGGCTGATAGCGGACGATTAGACCGGGTGAGGATCGGCTTTATGGAGATTAGTTGAAACTCCTACTATGGAAGCCCTACTGTACAGAATGCCCGAGTTTCATGTTTTAGAAGACACCTGTGTGACTGGCCTGGGTTTCCGATTTCCACGGCTATGTGTTTCCCTCCATACAGTTTACTGCACTGTATTTGGGTTTACTGACCAGCACAGGTTCCTACCCTACTTTTGCCATCACTAACCTTCCGGATATTTCATCCCGGGTATCATACTCGAGTAAAGTATGATACGTACAAAGTGCTTGTACAGGGTTCACGGAATAGCGAGAATTAGTGGTTCCACATGGGGATACGTTGGATTGCATAGGAGGTTTAGGTGTATTAGAAAAAGGAATACCTTTCTTCTTGGAGTGTAACAGGCTGCAAGGATTTTTGTTTTATTGTCAACAGAAGCAATCCTGCACCCCCAATTGCAGGGCGGGGAGGGACTGTGCTGTGAGGTGCACGACCATCCTCCCATCCAGCAATAGCCTTGTGGGATGCCTAAAACCGACAGACTTTCACTCAGTGTTGAGAGGACCCCAAAGGTATCATATCAGATGTCTGCCTTTGTTCTGGCCATGAGCAGTCAGGTAGACCTGAAAGGGGGGGGGGGTGACCGGGTGATGGAGGTGATGGAGGTGATGGAGGTGATGGAGGTGATGGGGCCTTTGCAGGGCTTGGCGATGACATATCTCGGCATTTTACTTGAATGGGCTAAATGCTGCGTGTACGAGTAGAGTGGTTCTGGGCTTGTTTTATTTGAGCGGAAAGAGGAATGGTGACCATTGATTGGATCGGCGGCTGTCTCAGCTGCTTGTACTCGTACCGCTTGAGCTTGGTTCCGAGGCTGGCAGGGAAGAAAGTTTGCGGCGCCACCCCGTCACTGCGAACACTGACTTTCTCTTCAACCAACCCCCACGTCCGGGAGAATTTTTTTAATTCTTTTCACATCACCGGCTCCACAATATCATTTCGGTATGGGCTCGGTTTCCTTAAATAGTAAGAAATCGTTCCCTTCCTCATCACAAAATTGTCTCCACGCTTCTTCTCCTCCTGGTCATTTTTTAATATAAGATAGCAGGCTCCCCCGGCTCTCCTGAGTCTCGACAGCCTCAACCCAAATTTACCCGCCCCTCCCTGCCAACAGCGGTTTTCCACAAGAAATAATCAATTCGTGTTTGCGCCTGGCCAAACGGAGCACAAATATCCGACCTTTATACCACAATTTCTTCCCCTGTGCGTCGTCAAGATTTGTGCATGCAAAATGATGGCGAAAATATTCACCCCCGAAGTCGTGAAGGACCCATGCACAATGGGTTGTCCGATGATCCCTACCTCCTTTCCGGGGACGAAGTTGTACGCCAATTATCTACCGACCCGGACAACGGGCTCTCTGATGCAGAAGCTGCGACCAGAATGACCAAATTCGGGCTCAATGAGCTCGATACTGGTGCTGGCGTGAGCGTGGTTCGGATTTTATTACGACAGTTGTTCAATGCAATGGGTTTGGTGTGTTCCTCCACCACATGAACTTTTTCCCAATGGTTACTATGCGAGGGGAGAGCTTTACTTACTCATTTTGGCCCTAGGTTCTCATAATGGCTATGGTTGTTTCCTTTGCTATTCAATCTTGGATCGAGGCGGCCGTTATTACTGCTGTTGTTATCGTCAATATCGTTGTCGGCTTTTTGCAAGAATATAGTGCAGAGAAGACCATGGATTCGCTAAGGTCCCTATCCTCGCCCACTGCATCCGTTATTCGCTCTGGCCAATCCAAGACGGTTCGCTCGGTGGACATTGTGCCCGGGGACGTTATCGAAGTCAAAACAGGGGATACCATTCCCGCAGACGTCAGGCTCGTAGAGGCGATGAATATGTCTTACCATCTCCTATTGGATAAAAAGGTTTCTAGGCTAACTTCCTTTGCACATTTTGAGACAGATGAAGCACTTTTGACTGGAGAGTCATTGCCGGTTGCTAAAGATGCCAATGCTACTTTCAAAGCGGGGCAGGATACCGGGGTTGGCGACCGTATCAATATGGCTTACTCGAGCTCTACTGTCTCCAAGGGCCGTGCCAAAGCGGTGGTTGTAACGACTGCTATGCAAACTGAGATTGGGAAAATCGCTCAATCCCTGCGCGGTGATAAATCGAGGGTTCGAAAGGTGCGCCGCGATGAGGAGGGAAATGCCGGGCTTCATCGGTACCTACAGGCCTGTGCCCTAACAGTTATGGACCATGTCGGAAAATTTCTGGGCGTTTCTGTGGGGACTCCTCTACAAAGAAAGCTTAGTTGGTTGGCCATATTCCTGTTTCTTATCGCTGTCCTCTTCGCCATAATATGCCTGGCGGCAAATGGTTTCAGCGATCGTCAGGAGGTCATTCTCTATGCTGTTGCGTAAGTGGCACCTTTTCAAATATTTAGCATTTTTATAGCTTTGACCTAGGGCTGATTTCTTGCAGTACTGGGCTTTCAATGATCCCGGCTAGTTTGGTTGTGGTACTTACTATTACCATGGCTGTTGGAACAAAGATCATGGTTGGCCGTCATGTCATCGTACGAAAGCTTGATTCTCTCGAGGCTTTAGGGGCTGTGACCAACATTTGCTCCGACAAGACTGGAACGTTGACCCAGGGAAAGATGGTGGTCAAAAAAGCATGGGTTATAGCGGAAGGTAGGAAGTTGCCGCTCCCGCTCATATTTACCCCGGCTATTAACATATTTAAGGTACCTACTCTATTGGTGACTCCAACAATCCAGTGGACCCAACATCTGCCGAGATTTCTTTTGAATCCGACCCTCCGTTCGATCATACTCCACTAAAGGTGCCGAAGACGCAGGCTCAGAAGCAAGCTGAGTCTCCATGGCTCCCAGCCTCCGAGTTTACCGGCAAGGAATTTTTAACCCAGTACTTGAACATTGCTACGTTTTGTAATCTTGCATCAGTGCACAGAAATCGCGAAACGGACCGCTGGGATGCTCGTGGGGACCCAACGGAAATTGCTATCCAAGTTTTTGCCAGCCGATTTGACTGGGGCCGTCGGAAATTTACTTCTGGAGACAATCCATCCTGGACCCAACTCGCCGAGTATCCCTTCGATTCCGATGTTAAGCGTATGACAGTCATTTACCGCAGCTTTTGCTCGGATGGGGAAAAGGGCTGCGTGGAATGGGCTTTCATGAAGGGTGCGGTAGAGAGGGTGTTGGAAGCATGTACGACTATCCAATATACCGATGGGGCTGTCCTAATGAGCGCAGAACAAGAGGAAAGGGTTCTGAAGAACATGGAAGCGTTGGCTTCTCAGGGTCTTCGTGTTCTGGCCCTTGCAAAACGACCCTGGCATTCCCAGACAGAGGATTGGGGTCAGCTGCCACGTGAAGATGTGGAGAGGGATATGGCGCTTTTTGGCCTTATTGGACTTTATGATCCTCCCCGTGTGGAAACAGCGGGTGCAGTCAAGGCTTGTCATAGAGCTGGGATAAACGTCCACATGTTGACGGGTGACCATAAGCAGACAGCTCGAGCTATTGCCATTCAGGTTGGGATACTTCCGCCAAGGATCAACCAGCTCTCACCGGATGTTATATCCTCGATGGTAATGACTGCAGCCCAATTTGACCTACTCTCGGATGACGCTATCGATGACCTACCCGTTCTGCCGTTGGTCATTGCTCGGTGCACCCCCCAGACCAAAGTGCGCATGGTAGAGGCCCTACATCGTAGGAAGAAATTTGTTGCGATGACTGGCGACGGTGTTAACGATTCTCCCGCCCTCAAACGTGCCGATGTCGGCATCGGTATGGGTATGGCTGGCAGTGACGTTGCTAAAGATGCTTCGGATATTGTGCTCACGGATGATAATTTTGCTTCCATCCTTAACTCTATTGAGGAGGGGAGGCGAATGTTCGATAACATAAAGAAGGTAACATATTCCTTAGTGGCTCTGTGTTCCTTTAATACGTACTAACCCGAATATAGTTCGTTTTGCATCTGTTGGCTGAAAATATTGCACAAGCTTGCACCCTTCTTATTGGTCTTGTGTTTAAGGATAGCACAGGCCTCTCAGTTTTCCCCCTGGCACCTGTTGAGATTCTGTGGATTATCATGATCACCAGTAGTTTCCCTGATATGGGACTGGGCTGGGAACCGGCGTCTGACGATGTCATGACTAGACCGCCTCACAATGTAAGTTTATTCTGTCAATTCTGTACTGTGGGGCCCGACTGACTCTCTCATAGCTCAAGGTTGGTATATTTACGATGGAGCTTCTTGTGGACCTAACGGTTTACGGATTCTGGATGGCTGCCCTCTGCCTCGCCTCATTCGCGTTGGTTGTTTTCGGCTTTGGTGATGGCAATCTGGGACACAACTGCAACCACAGAATCGACGATGGATGTGAGCTCGTTTATAGAGCACGGAGCACTACCTTTACCTGCCTCACCTGGTTTGCCTTATTCTTGGCCTGGGAGATGGTGCACATGCGCCGTAGTTTCTTTAGATTGGAGTCCGACCCCCCGCATATCTGGACAATGTGGGCCCGCCATGCCTGGCGAAACCCCTTCTTGTTCTGGAGTATCATGGCAGGATTCATCACGGTATTCCCGATCATTTACATCCCCGGTCTCAACACAGTCGTATTTAAGCATGCCCCGATCTCTTGGGAGTGGAGTATTGTGATCATTGAGGCCATTTTGTTTTTCCTCGGGATAGAGTTCTGGAAGTTTTGCAAGCGGGTATACTTTAGGCGACATGGTGATAAAGTTAGAAACCCAGAAACGGAGCTGGGTGCTAATACCTTTTCGAGGTATGCATCCACTGCCGGGTCGGGCGCAACGGATGGTGTCGAATTGGAGGCCCAAACATGAACAATGGTGTTAGGAAAAAATTTCAATTTATTCTCTTCTCTAATCCCTCGATTCACAGTTCTTTATGGCTGTGCTTTTCATGCTTGTTTTGTCTCGAATGTTTTTTCTCGGTTCAGTTGGCTTCCCGCTTGAGGGCGATGAACTCTGGTGTCTCCTGTTACGCACCTTTTTGCCTACTAATTATTGGAAATTAAAATTACCGATAACAAGTTCCTATGCCTATCCCTTGCAGTAAATAGAAAGAAGGAAAAGATGGAAGCTCTACCATGCGGCGCTCACGGTAACCTGATGTTGTACTTGTAGTAAAGAGGTCAGGAGCCAAACGGCATCCAGATATCAACCGCTTTCTCCGAATCATTGTGGTCAACGGTAGGCGGAGGGAGTTGACTCAACTCTGAATTACACAGTCCGCTGTGCCCGAGGATTGTGGGTAGGTTTATCGGACCCTCCTTAATCCACTCCTAGTAGTCTATCTAGTAGGGAGTATATTGCTTCTTATTGTACGAGTAGCTGTTCACAAGCGAATCGTGATGGTGGACCTCGGGTATCGGTTTGGGTGCTCACTTGCTTGGGTGTATCCATGAAAACCTGAGGCAAGGGTGGCAATATAGGATGGGGATTGTTTCCATAGGACCGTAAAGTTAACAGGGAAGAAATGCACTAGTGCAGACTTTGTAAACCCTGGCCAGCTGACTGGAAATCTCTCCACAGGTATTTCACGACAATCTAACACTGGAAGAGATTGGCTATTATTTTAGGTGTAGGGAGTCCTCGCATCTAGGTCTCGAGTCCCTGGTTTCCACTTTCCTGCTACGGTCATTATCATCGTTCCGTCATTGGATAATGTAGTTGGTATCTACGATATGATTGATGTTCCTATCCCCGAAACATCGTAGTTAAAGTACTCAAGTCGCCGGAATGAAGTCGCGTTTCCTTTCGGGGTATAATGCATCTTGGTGTAGCAATGGGGCTAGTTTCATAGGCAGCATTCAATGTACCAGATGCGAGTATCATAAAGCACTGAAGATGGGTCAGACATTTGCAAAAGAGTCGCTATCTCGCACGGTATGCTCTTTCATGTCTTGCAGGCTCATGGCTAATAAAATAATAAATATATGAAAATGAATTATAAGAAGAGAAGGAGTACGATCACTGTTTTCAAAGGGAAATCAGTGACAAGACTACTCTTGTCCGGCACTTCCAATTTTGCTTACAAAACAGCACCCATTACCATGCCAAGATACATTATACCTCAAACGGAAACGCGACTTCAATCCAGCGACTTGAGTACGGTAACAAATCTTTTCGTCCGGCACGGCAATAGCAACCCCACTACCACAACAAATTTACTACCCATGCAACCACAGCTGCTTAGAATAAACTGAAAATTTAGGTATATGTCCAGTACATGTAAGAAAGCCTTCATATGAAATTAAAGAGCAAAAAAATCAATACTTTGTATACCACCCCTTTGCATCCAAAACAGCAGCCACCGTACTAGGCATAGACTCCCACAAGTATTCCAAAAATTCCCCTTCAATATCCTGAACCTAGTTCTGATTCGGAGCTTCTGCTAGACATTTTCTAACAGTATCAGGACCCTCCTTAGTCTTGTGAATGTTAGGGAAGGGCTGATAAAGCTTTTCCTTTACCCTTTTCCAACAGTGCTTAATAGGATTAAGGTCTGAGGAATTAGAAGGCCATTCCATAACCTGTATATAGTTTTCTGCAAACCAAGCCATAGTATCTCTTGCAGTATGTATCTTTGCACCATCCTGGTGAAAGATAGGATCCCCAACTATGTCCTCTACCTCCTGTCAGACATTAACTAAGTCATCCTCCATAACCTTAATATATACAAATCTATCCGCACTCTTGTTAAAAATTGAAATCAGTGGACCCTTATTTTTACCCCAAATGCAAGCCCAAACCATGAGCTTTTCTCCTGGTCTCTTAATAACCTCTTGGATATAATCCTTATACCACTTTTCCTCAGGTCTTCTGAATACCCATATACTCTTAAGATCTTTGGACTTTTCAACCATGCATTCATCACTAAAGATGACACCTTCAAAATTCTCTTTTGTCCAATCCTTATACTACTTTGCCCGGTCTAACCTCTTGATAGCATGTTCATCCTTTAACAATGCTCTCTTTCTTGCCCTCTACTTCTTTATGTTGACAGAGACTAAAGCTCTCTGGATTGTTATCACAGAGGCTTGAGGGGCAACCTTATTGCGCAGTTCTAGTAGAGGCTAGTAGCATACCTTTTTAGACTACCTGACAAGGTGGTGGCAGATTTTGGCATGAATAATTTTGTGTCTGCCAGGCATGGAAAGGTTTTTCATATCACTCCTCTTTTGATACTGGGTATAGAAACTGAGGACTATAATTTTGGGATGATTTAAGAGATTCCCAATCTTAGAAAAAGAGAGACTTTGTTTTCTCATAGCAACAATTTACCCTTTCTCAAACTCTGTAAGATGGCCAACTAGTCTTTATCTGAGGCATGGTGGTTAGAGAGTCATTGATTGTTGAGGAGTCATTAATTATTGAAGTGGGGTGGGTTGTGGAGTTTTTCATTAATTAACAATCAGATAAAAAGATTTCTTCTAGTACATTGGACTATAGGCCTTTGTGGTTGTGCCATTGCCATACAGTATGGTCATGATACAGAACTGTTGAGAAAGGTCTGGGACATAGCTGGCCACACCATGTCGATTACCAGGGGTATAACTAATGAAGAGATGGGGTAAAAAATTAAGGGAATACTAGTATAATGGCAGAGACATGCATGTACCTAGACAGGCTGAATATTAATATTTAGCAGTACTTTCTTATGATTAAACATATCTGAGGGGCATATAAAACTTTGGATTGCATGAAAACTACAGCCCAACTTCCTACATCCTATGACATATTACATACTAGATATTGGTGAATTGTTCTCCTCAAAACTCATCCTTCAATAGCTAAAAGTCTTTAAACTTTAGGGATTGCTATTCTAGATTTACTATCAATTGATATAGAGGTTTTATCACTTTTATCATCCTATATCCTTCAATTATATTCATGTAGTTACAAACTAGGTTGGCTATTGAGGAATCTCAATTTTTGATGGCTACTGCATCCTAGATGTCAGTAGTTCTTACATCTACAATAGAGAAGAGTCAGTTCTTAAAGAAGGATGTTTTCAGATTGAGATATCATATATGACTCAGAGTTACAATATTGGTAAAGAGGTAGTGTGCCTCAGTATATGACCATACAAGTCTGGCAAAAATGGTAGATGAGGGGATAAAAAGAAAGGCTACATTATACAACAAGATTGGTAAGGTAAGGAAAGTTGTAGTAGTAGAGAAGATGGCTTATGCAAAGACAGTATACAAGGTTGTAAAAGAGAAAGAGGTGGCTGAGGAGAAGGTATATTAGCAAAAATTCCTTCTTGCATTAATTAGGTTATAAGTGGACTCTGTTGTTACTAGTATATTCTAATATCATCAAAAGTAAAAGCTTGTATGCTGTGCATCCTGTGCATCTGATACATGGGACATACAGGATGCAAACCGTTAATTAGGATACAAGACAACTGCTACAAAAATCCAGGATGCAACAGTCCTTGGTGCCGGAACTCAGGACATAGCCCAATACTGCAGTTATTCTTAGAATACAAGCAAGCACTACTGTAATTTACAGGACACAATACCAGGATTAGACTTTGTAACCTAGGTCACGTAGGTAGATTCTAAAACCTTTCAAATAAACAATATTTCTAGTCATATTGGTTCTATAAGATGCAGTACAGAAAGAAACGCCTCCCCTTCCAACCTCATAGTATAAATCCAGTGCAAACTACTTGCCTCACAAGTGATAACTCCTCCAATACTAGCACCTGTTAGATGTTCAAAGTATTGTTTGAAAGCTGGCATTCAGTAGAACCTAAGTACTGTGTACGAGCTACTATGTATAAGGGATGCCTGTGGAATTTGGCATCAAAGTCAGCAATTTGTCAGAACTCTATCAGGGTAAATACTACTCCCATAACATAGTATAACTCCACCAATATTGGCACCACATAGACATTCAATAGACCATTAGAAAGCTGGTATAAAGTAAAACCAGGAGGCTAAGTATTGACTACTGTACCTATAAGATGCTAGAAGGATCAGGCATCAAGGTTAGCACTCTACCAGAACTCTCCTGGAGCAAACACTACTTCTATAATAACCTATATCTCTACCAATACTAGTACAGAGTAAATGTTCAATATACTATTCAAAGGCAGGCATCAAGTGACACCAGGAAACTGAGTGTCAGCTACTGCACTTAAGGGATGCCTTAGAAATCTAGGATCAAATCAGCAATAGACCACAGTAAACACCACTCCTATAATAGGTGGTAACTCAATTGATATTGGCACCAAGTAGATATTCAATACACCTTGAGAAGGCTGGTATCAAGTAGAAGTGGAATGCCAAGTATTGGCTGCGGTATTAAAGGGATACTTGAGGAATCTGGTGTCAAAGTCAGTAGTTTACCAGATCTCTACCAGAGTAAATCCCACTTCAATAATGGGCTGTATCTCTACCAATACTGGTGCCAGGTAGATATTCAATAAACTGCTGACAGGCTGGCATCGAGTAGAACTAGGATGGTAAGTGTTAGGTGCTGTACTAAAGTGATACCTACAGAACCTGGTGTCAAACTTAGTACACTGCAGAACTCTATCAGGCCAAATACCACTTCCATAATAGCTTGTATCTCTAGCGATACTGGTGCCAGATAGGGATTCAATACCCTGTTAAAAGGCTGGCATTGGGTAGAAGCAAGATGCCAAGTATCAGCTGCGGCACCTAAGGGATGCCTGAGGAATCTGGCATCGAAATTAGCACTTTGCCAGAACTCTGCTAAGGTAAATACCACTTTCATAATAGGCAGTAACACTACCAGTATTGGCGCCAGGTAGATGTTTAATATACTGTTGGAAAGCTGGTGTCTAG